CTCGATTGATAACTGGAAAAAAACTGCTCAGTTCAGCGAGTGGATTCACGAAGCTAACTCGGAGCAATATATATATATATATATATATATATATATATATATATATTACAGGCGTGGATCCCACATCACATAATGTGGAAATGAAATGTTGAACCGAGTATCGCTCGACTGTGGTCACGATGAAAGACCTCCCATCCAGAGTAGAATGTTTACCCACCAACAGATTGTGTGTGCTGTTATCGCTGCCTTTTTTTACTATGAGTGACGCTCATATGTTCGGATAATGCCAAGATGGATACTTACTACGCATAAATTAGCACTTTTTGTAGGGGCATTCTGCGAACGTAACAGCTCAATTCTTGCACGGAAAAATAGATTTTTCGCACGAGTATTGTGTGGCTGAGAATGATATCGACTATTTACTGATTTGATATTGCAATAAATTGATAGAGTTTAAAAATTGCGCTTCTAGGTCACAAAAATAGCTTCGTATTTGGCTGTAATGATCGAAAACTTTTGCGCTATAATCACGCTGTGGTGTACCGGCAGAGTGACAATCAGCCATGAGCAAAAGAAGGTTAAAACCGATATTCACGTGGTCTGTTAGACGGTATGGGTTAAGATTCGAAAGCCGGGTTGTCAGTTGGGTTTAATCCTTGTTTACAGGAACGAACATGCAACTGAGGGTGACTAGCTTCTGTATTTCTAAGCTACAAACACAATGTACTCCACTGGTTAAACCAATCATTGGTGAACGCAGTTCAGCATAAACTCATGACCCAAACGAAGGTTAACCCTAGCTGCCATGAACCGAACTTTGATCATCATCATCATCATCATCATCATCATCATCATCATCATCATCATCATCATCACATGCATCCTGAGGTGCCTACTCCTCTAAGCGCTCAGCCAATCAATCTGGGAAGAGACCGGCGACACAAATGCCACTGACATCAATCAGGCACCCTTTCTTGCAGTGTCTCCGGACAGATTCAGCGACGGTCATGGAAACCCCATCCTAGAAGTCAGACTGCACCAACAACACCTAAGCCCTTCGTGATATCTTCCAAGTCTTTCTGTTAAGTCACGCGTCCAACTCGCAGTTTGAGCCATTATGAAGGAGGTACAAATAGCAACGGTTGTCTCGGTACACAACGCTTTGGCATGCATAGCGCACAAAGACAACATTTTTCGCATGCTTTCTTACGAATTCGTTGACGTCATCCGACAGCAGCAACACTTCTGAGATATCAGTGGTAAAAAAACCTAAAGACAACTCACACCCTCTCCGCATAGGCCATGCTGTGCCACCATACACCTATTGTAGCCCTGTAGACATGACCGTTGCCCAGTGATATGACACCACAAGTAACGCATGCCAGGGAACGTGATTCAGGCCTTTGAGATGTGTTCACTGACACACTTTCGTCGAGGTCGCTACTACTATGGAGATATCTGAAATCCTCCGCATATTTAGAGCCCGAACGTTCTGGAACATGTCATTGCACTTTAAGATACAAGATGTATACCGAAGAATGGTATGATGGTGGTTAGTTTATGTTTGGTCTTTGTTTTCAAAGACAAGGAGGATGCCTGATCACCCCGTGTCATAAGATTCTCACTGTCAGTGATTGGAATAACGGTGTTTTGAAGGGCTTCTAGAATTCGCCGCATTATTTCAGCGATGAAGAAGTTGTGTGTGTGTGAATATCCGTGGGGGACATTCCTTTGAGTACACAGCTGCAAACCAGGAAAGGTCCTGATCCACCCATTGTTAGTGAGAACGAATACTGATTTAGAGTATATTTTAGTACTCATAGGGCTAGAGGCATCCTATTAGCCTGTGGAATGAGTTTAGCAATCGCTATTCAAGCTGACTGCCACTCAATCACTCAAGATGCTTCTAATTTGTACATGCAGTATCCGATTTCCACATCAATTTGTTTGAGTTGGGAGTCAGTACATCGTGTATTTCCGTCACATGAACCGAGAAAACAGGCAAAACACCTCCCCTCAAGGTCTTACCCAGTCTTGACAATCGGGATAGTTGTTATCTGTTTAGCTAGGGCTCATCGACACTGCGTGCATCCAGTCCTCGTGGATATGTTGAAATGTGAGTACTTGTAAGCTTCTTGTGAACTTCTTACAAGAAGGACGTTTGCTTACCACAAAATCACTGCGCGCAAAGCAAGCAGTCTTATCCAGAGGTCAAAGAGCTGGACTTTTTTTATCAAACGTCTAACTACTTAAATCAAACAACGTAGTCTTCACCAGCCGTTTATTCTTGTTACTACAGCTTGACAGAGGAAACATTATGTCCCGAGTAAGGTAGTCACATTAGAAATGTGCGCACGTATACTAGTCTATACGTTTTTAAAATTGAACCGAACCAGAGAGGTTTTTGTTGCCGTTATGTTTCTTGGGTCCCCGTCTGTTCCAAGCACTGAGCCTGGTCTACACGATCAAACCAAACAGCAGTGCCTGATCTGCATCAGCCCACCCAGAACTACCCCAGAGATCAGTGGCACTACTTTCGCCCTCAATTTTTGTACAAGGTTAGCAATTCGACTCAATAATTTGATTTTAACTCCTAATATCATTGTACACCGGACAGATGAAACAGAACGTCATGGATATTCTCTTCCTCAGTAACTACCCTATTGATTCAGGACGACAGAACAAAGCTGTGATAGTTGTTGCTGATCTACTAGTTATCCGATCCAGAGGCCGCCTGAAGAAAGCTTTGGTTTACCGGTGACTGCCGGGTCAAAATACCTTCGTGTCGCTCAACCTTAGTGGACAAAACCACACCCTACGCTACGCTGGACAAATATGTTGGTCAACTGTTCAGATAATGAACAACTTGATAGCTCCTCTTACCCATAGGTTTAGTGGGAACATGAGTCCTCGTGTCACTCACTAGGCAAGAACAGTTTCCAGGAGGACTCTGCCCCTGAGAAAAGTCCATCTATGCTGAGAAGCCATACAACTGTTCGATCCTTGTTGGGAATCCTCAGCAGGGCGCATCTCACGACACTTCAGGCAGCTGCGAACTAGTAAACTTTCTGCCAATTGTTGAACATTGTTGTTGATCATGGGCGGATGATCGGCAGTTTATAGGACAGGACAGAGCACCCAATAAGGAAGAAAAAGTTGTACAGTGCCGCTCAGGTTTTCAAGGTAGATTGACCTGATTTCCTAACCACCACATGAAGAACTTAGTTGCTAGAACACCCTCAAGCGATGTTGACACGTTCAGCAGAGC